CCCATCGCCGCTACCACCCCTACCGCCATCTTCTCCTCCCTCCATCTCCACACCTCCCGCCGCAACTACACCTCCTCTTTCGAACTCCGACAAGACCACCTCCACCACCTCCAGACGTAGGCCCACTCACCGCCGTGGCGGGAAGGCAGGAAGAGCTCTAAGGTGCGGCTCCAGCTGGTGGGGGGTTGCGGCGCCGATGGAGGGGGGTGGGGGGGAGGGAGATGAGGGGGCCGGGGTGCCGCTTGGAGGTCTCCATCAGATCGTACCGCAGACCTAGCCGAGTTAACCACCTCGGTCGGTCTGTTGTACATGTTGTACATGTTGTACCTAGTTGGTTCAGTTCAAGGTCTGGTCCATGTACGGGTGCAGGTCGTCGGCTCACCTGCTTGGACCTTGCCTTGTTTGCCTGTTTGCCTTCCTGCATACGCACACCACTTATCACCACCGTCATCTTCATAGCAGTAATAGCAGCAGAAGCAGTAGCAGCAGCAGTAGCAGTAGTAGCACCATGTCCAGATTATTTCCCAACCCCACCACACCCCTCTCTCCCCTTCCTCTGCCGCCCATTCGGACCCGCAGTTCGAGCGGCAGCGGCGGGGCGTTACCAGGACAAAAAGATGACGTCAGGCGCCGTACACTCGTCGCCGCATTAGAAAACCACCCCCGGCCCAATGACGGCGCATTTGCGAAGCAGCAGCAGCAGTTAACTGCTGCACCACCGCCGGCACCACCACCGCAATCGCCACAAGTACTGTCACCCCCACCGCCGCCGCCGCCACCCCCACCCCCACCCCCTCCACCGCCGCCGCCAGACACCTCAGCAGCAGCAGCAGCACCGCCGCCGTCGGAACAGGATATGGGTCAACCACCAGAGGATGGTAAGGGGGTCAACCAAGGTACGACAAACGACGACGGCGCCGCCGCCACTAAGTCCATCCCAGACCAGGCCGAGTACGACGAGGAGGGGACAGTAAACGGCGCGGCGCCGCCGCCGCTTCAGGAAGCGGAAACCGTCGCGCAACCGACAGCTCCGTTCGGCGTGGGTGGAGGTACGACACGAGCTAGCCCAACGGCGACGGAGGACATTCCTAGTGTTGATGCTGCTGGCTTGAGCAGTACGACGTTTCCGCCACCCAAGACTGTGGAAGGTAAACCAGCGCCGGCGCCGGCGGTATTGCCGTCGGCGGCGAGCAGTGCTGCCCAGTCGCCGCCGGCGACGACGCTAGTGCAGAAGGTTAATGTGCAGGCGCCGGCGGCGACGGAACGTACGACCTGGCTGCCGACGGCGATGCCAGCGCCGAGGGTTACGGCCTGGTCGCCGGACCAATGGCCCGCGGCTAAGGGCGGCAATACCTCGACGCCGTCGCTGACGCCAGCTGCGTTGCCGCCGCCAACCCCCAAGGTTGCTGTCCCGCCACCGACACCAGTACGGGCTGGAATCCCGAATGGCGCTACCTTGCCGCCACCAGCGCCGCCGCCACCAGTGACAAAGAGCGTGGCCCCGTCGCCTTCAACAATGCTGCCGCCAGTACTGAAAGGCGCTGCGCCGTCGCTGGCGCTGACGTCCCCGCCGCCGTCTTGGAGGGGCGCGGCTACCACGCCGCCGGCACTGCGGCCGTCGCCAAAGGACGCTGCCTCGTCACCGCCGCCAAAGGGTACGGCTGCGCCATCATCTTCATCTTCGCGGCCGCCTTCGCCGCCGCCGTCACCGAAGGCCGCTGTGGCGCTGCCGTCGCCACTGTCGCCGTCACCGCCGCCGTCACATAAGGGCGCTGTGATGCCGCCGCCGCCGCCGCCGTCGTCGTCGTCGTCGCCGCTGCCGCCACCCAGGGGCTTCGTTCCGTCGCCGTCACCGCCGATGCCGATGAAGGCAATAGGCGCCACGCCGACGGCAGGGGCGTCACCACCGGCGCCAAAACAAAATACCTCCTCGCACAGGCTGCCGCCACCGCCGCCACCGCCGCCACCGCCTTCTCGGGGTGCTTCACCAGCAGCGGCGCCAGCTCCAAAGCTGCCCTCGACCTGGCGGTCGCCTTCTTCGACCTCGCGACCCGTCCCGCAATCCTACCGGAGTCCATCTCCATCACTGCCGCCGCCGAAATCGCTGCCGGCGCCTGCCCGGCCGCCGCCAACGCTGTTGCCTCGGCCGCCGCCGTTCCCTCCGTTGCCGCCATCACCGCGGCCATCGCCTCCACGGCCGCCGTCGCCGCGGCCCCGGGCGCCTAACCCGAATCCCAGACCGCCACGGCCGCCACGACCGCCGCTGCCGTACCCACCGCCGCCGTCGCCTCCCTTCCCGCCGTCGCCGCCCCGACCCAGGCTCCCTCGGAAGCCTCCAAACTGGATCAGGCCCGGCGCCACGCATTCGCCTCCGCCACCAGCGCTGCCGCCGCCAGCACCATCGCCACTGCCGCCGCCGCCACCGAAGCCACCGGTACCGGGACCACAACCGCCGCCGCCGCCGTCGCCGCTGCCTCCAAAGCCCCCATCGCCGTCACCAGTGTCCGCAAGCCCGCCGCCGCGATCGCCGCCGCCAGTGCCGCCAGCGCCGTCTCCACCGTCACCCTCCCCTCGACCCTCTCCGCTGCCGCCAGCGCCCCCGGCACCAGCGCCGCCGCCAGTGCGTCCGCTGCCATCGCCTCCCTTTCCGCCTCGACCTCCGTCTCCGCTGCCGCCAGCGCCGCCTTCGCCTTCCCCTCCTCCCTTTCCGTCACCGCCGGTACCTCCATCGCCACCATTGCCACCGCCGGTGCCTCCGCCACCATTGCCACCGTCCCCATCATCGCCACCATCGCCTCCGCTGCCGCCATCTCCTCCCTATCCATCGCCGCCGCCATCGCCTCCGCCACCATCGTCACTGCCTCCGTCGCCGCCGCCTCCGCTCCCACCACCATCCCCATCCCCATCGCCGCCGGCCCCCCGCCCGCCTTCCCCAAACCCTCCAGGACCTCTCTCTGCGAACCCCGCTCCGAGACCAAACCCCCAGCTCTCGCTCCGGAACCCTGCACCCCCACCGCTGCGGACCGCCGTACAGATGCAAAGCGACGATGGCGACGGCAACCTGATCTTCATGGACACTGACTCCACACCGATGCAACCACCGTCACCGTCGCCGTACAGGAGCAAGCCACCGCCGCCGTCGCCGCCTCACAAGCCGCCGTCGCCACCTCCATCGCCGCCGTCACCGCCGCCGTCGCCTCCGTCGCCACCTCCATCACCACCGTCACCGCCGCCGTCGCCTCCGTCACCGCCGCCGTCGCCTCCGTCACCGCCGCCGTCGCCTCCGTCAG